CGAAATGATGTCTACACCAATGTTATATTGTTCTGTTTTGATTCCATAAAAAGAGCTGTTAAAGCAGCTGTTGTGCGACAAAATATTTTTTTCACTGTTGTTGATGGACAGTAATATTGTGTGAGAGATTATGTGTGAATAACTGCTCCAAGTGAAAAATGTTCATGTAAAATTGAAAATCGAAATTGTTATTTCAGTAAATATTCGCATTTTGCACATAGAAAACTGATTCATGATTCCATGTTGATGAGAGCATTAAAATGGGGAAAAAAATAGGACAAGAAACGCTTTTTTATCGCTCAGAAACGATGAAAAATGCGTGAGTAATCACGATTAAATTTTACTGAATTTGAGTTAATTATGACAGTTGCATTTTTAATTAGATTAAATATTTTAATTGTTTGACAGCTCTAATAAAAATATATAATCAGTTTCAACACAAGCTATGGTGTCTCAGTCTGATCACTGGATGGCACCCACATAATGATGTACATGACAGACAAAATAAGAAGAAACGACACAAAGATCTCAGATTTTTACACAACTACGATAGCACATAGCATATAACTGTTGAGCATGAAATAAAATTAATAAATAAAGAAATACAAGACTGACTGCTGAGAAATACTACACAGTGAATGTCCGGTATAGGTCCAGACAGCGACACCACTGTGAAATTCTTTACGGCAATCAAAGGCTTTTTACTGCCATCATTAAAGTGCAACGAAACTTGATGCTATGTTAATGGCCCACGTTCTCTCACCAGTGAATGCAAGCTATTATCGACTTATAAAAGCACAGCCGCCTCAAATGCCGTTTGTATGAAAGCATAGTTAAGTAGCAGACCAGTTCAGCAATGCGCTGCTGGCGGTGACATTCCCATGGGGCAGTGCACGTGTTGTGAAAATAATATCCATCCATCCATTATCTGAGCCGCTGATCCTCACCAAGATCACACATGCCAGAGCCCCAGTTGACTTGGGGCAATAGATGGGGGACACCAATAATTGAGCCCCAGACCTCTGCACTGTGAGGCGGACGTGCTAACTAGTCGACCACCATGCTGCCCAAAATAATAATTAGACATTTGATGTATGTAGTGTTTTTTTAGACATTCAAAGACATGTTACAAAATAAAGTATTAAAAACTGGCAGCAAAAATGTTTTGAAGAAAAGCCAGTTTGACCAGGTCGGTTTTGAGGAGAGATTTGAAGGTGAATAAATAATAACTCGGTCATTTCTCAATCGATTTTAACTTCACTTAACTTTTTCATCAACACCAAAACGCATGCTGTAAATGCAAAATATGCAACCTTGATTTTCTTTTTTTTGTTTGCTTTAATAATATCCTTGACGTAGAACACAGCAACACTTTACCGTACATTGTAAAAACATTTGGGTAAAAAAGAATTTATTTTGGGTTACATTTGACCCAATTACTGTGTTAAGAAAGGACTGACCCACAGTTGGGTCAATTTCAGCCCAAAAATTGGGTTATTCAGTTTTGACCCAACTTGTAATGTTAAATGAATATATCAAATTGGGTCCAAGCAATGCAATTTTTAAAATTATTATTGTTATTTTTTTACCCAACTTTCATTCAAAAGAATAACCTGAATATGTCAAATTATAAGGCGCAATCTACAATGCCTCCACTAGATGGTGCTACGCTCCTTCCATTCAACTCGAGAGGCGTCCGTTCAACTTGAGAGGCGTTCATGACCGCCTCTGAAAAACATTAATTAACTATTATTGTACTTAAATGAAACTACGAAAATTGAAAATAATGCATCAAAACAGAAAATCAAGCGAGGAAATCACAAATTCTATATCCCCCCGTACAGAATTTATTTTGTGATTTCCTCGCTTGATTTTCTTCGTGGTTTCATTGAAGTAATAATTTACGTTTTTCGGAGGCGGCCATGAATGCCTCTCGAGTGTAACGGAAGAGAAGGCACAGAGACTGTCAGACGTACAGTACCTGTATTTTTTGAGCATGTGAAAACCATTAATAAAGTCTGCGTTTAAAAAAAATAAATAAAACCACAACCACAGCTCTCCTTTTTTCAACAAATACAGGTGCGAAAAAACGTAAACTAACGATTACTTCAATGAAACTACAAAAATTGAAAACAATACATCAAAACTGAAAAGCAAGCGAGGATATCACAAAATAAATTCTATAGCCCTCCCCCTACAGAATTTATATTGGGATTTCATCATTTGTGAATACACAACAAAGGAATAAATAACTACGACTGACATCTGATCGTACTGTTGGAGCTACGATCAAAGAAATACCAATGCGTTTTTCGGAGGCGGTCATGACCGCCTCTCGAGTTGACCGGAAGAAAAGAAGGCACGGAGACAGACAAAGACGTACCTGTATTTGTTGAGACTGTTTTAAAAAATTAACACCACAGCTCTCCTTTTTTCGGAGCTGCAACACAAACTTATTTAATAAAACAGTGACACAGTTCACTGAACCAACAGCAAGTTATAACATTGGAAGCATGTCTCCAGGAAGGAGCCATCTTGGAGTCGACGTATTACCCTAATGACCATACAAAAGACGCACCGGATTTTAATGCGCTCGTGAGCTTTTAAGAAAATGGAAGACTTTTTGGTGCGCCCTATAGTGCAGAAAATACGGTAAATTATAGGCGGCCCATTGGGTGACTGGTTAGCACGTTGGCTTCACAGTGCAGAGGTGCAGGGTTTGGTTCTGGCTTTGGCCTTCCTGTATGGAGTTTGCATATTCCCCACGTGCCTGCGTGGGTTTTCTCCGGGTACTCCGGTTTCCTCCCACATTTCAAATCCTGCATGGCAGGTTAATGGAACACTATGAGTTGTTCCTCGGTGTGAGTGTGAGCGCGAATGGTTGTTTGTTTCTCTGTGCCCCGTGATTGGCTGACAATCATTTCAGGGTGTACCACTCCTACTGCCCAAAGACAGGTGGGATAGGCTCCAGTACACCCCGCGACCCTTGTGAGGACAAGCGGATCAGAAAATGGATGGATAGATGGATGTTAACCAAAAACAAGAGCGTGGGGGGGGGGGGGCACACAGTGGACAGACAATGTATTCTAACAACGTGTGTGAAATCCTGTGTGAGTGGGTGACGTCATTACGTTGGTGTGCCCCATAGAAAACCTACTCTCAGACAGTCACAACTGAGAAAAACGTGCTTCGGGACCGAAACATGGCACTCTTCGATTTCATGTGAATGGGTGCTTGGTAGAACCGACCAAAATTGGTCCATACCAAAAAAGTACCATCTTCAGTACCCATCCCTAATCCAGTTACTGCCAAAACACTAAATAGGGTATTAGGATAGTTGCAATTTCAAAAGATAGTACCTGGACAGTCAAACCTTGTTACAACATACCCCGTGGGACATAATGGTAGTTCGTTGTAATCATTTCAAATAAATTGACCACCAACTATGATGTATAATCCAGTGTGAACATTTCTAGATGTAAAAACGTGAACATGTAATAGAGTATAAACATGTCAATTAAAATGTGTATAAGGCATGAAGGAAAAATTATTTTATAAGACATGAAACAAACAACTATAGCGTTCTTACTTCATCTCTGAGGTAAGCAAATGAAAAGTGCCTTCACCAGTTCAGGTTGTGCTGCTCCCCGAAGCCATTTACGACCATCCTTCAATCTGTTGGTCTCAAACTCTCTTGTCTCAAAGACAATCAAAATCAAGAGGTTATCACCAAAGTTCAAAATGGTAACTGCATGCACTATTAATGGCTGAATTACCACTCATAATGCGGGAATCACCTGGCACGTGCTTGCAGATCAGCAGAGGTCTTATACACAGGAGGTGATTGCTCATCAACTGCAGGTGTGGGAACACCCTCCTAAAATCACCTCGCCCGGCCTGATATTTAAAAGCAAGAGACAAACAGAAGATCCCAGGATGTGGACTCACCAAAATAAAGAAGCACGTAATAATAAATACACACAAGGAAGAGGGTGCCTCCGCAACAACAATGTACAAGTCGATCAGTAGCGTTGCTAAGCAACAGAGGGGAATCCTACGCTGTACATTTTCTTCATAAGGTCACGGCGGCAGTTAGCCTCCCACGTTTCGTTGTAACGATGGCATTTTCATTTTTTTGTGGGAAAAATCTGGTCATTATAATGAAGATTATGTGATAAAGGTGTTCGTATGCAAAATCGACAAATGGAAAATGAATTACGTGGTCGGAACTTTGAATTGTGAATCTTATAGGGGTGAAAATGTCAATGGGGTACGTTAAAAAGAGGTTCAACTGTGCTACTAATGAATCACATTTTTAATGGTAAACTGTGAAGCATTTCATCTCTTCAGTCTCTTTCTGACCACCCAATCAAAATAAGAGTTTGTTGACTCAGCATTCCACCCTTTGAAACTAAGCTGCATTTGTGTTGAGATCCATTCATTCCATCCATCCGTTTTCTACCACTTATCGGGGGTCGGGCCGCAGGGGCAGCAGCTTTAGCAGGGAAGCCCAGACTTCCCTCTCCCCAGCCACTTGTTCGAGCTCTTCACGGGGTATCCGTTTGGCTCAGCTCCTTCTTCACCATGACGGACCTATACAAAGTCCGCATCACAGCAGACGCTGCATCAATCCGCCTGTCGATCTCTCGCTCCCTCCTGCCCTTACTCGTGAACAAGACCCCAAGATACTTAAACCCCTCCACTTGGGGCAAGATCTCATCCCCGACCCGCAGACGGCACTCCACCCTTTTCCGACTGAGAACCATTGTGTTGAAATCCTCCTACTTATTCCCGATTGTGTACTTAATTTCCCTTTCCACTCTGAGGTGATTTGTGAGGCTATAAAATGTTCATTTGTTGATTGCGCCTACACAGCACTATGGATGACTCTTCACAGGCTAGACTAGTTGAGAGAATAAGGTTTGTTTCATTAAAACAGTACTGATATATAATGTGTCTGATTAATACTAAATTAAACAACGTAATTTTCTTCCTTTTAGATATTCGTGGGATGCTACAAAATCCCCCCAAGACCTATACAAGCACCCCAACCATCCTCTACAATCTGGAATACTGAACCCAAGATTGACTTGCATTGATACAAACTAACATTGACAGGGTTGGCTGCATCATGGTGTTTTCGAGATTGGTTTAAGGCTTTCAGGATAAACTTTTTCCTTGTGCCTGGATGGACATTTGGCAGCATCAACTTTATTGTTGGTGAGGAAGTCTCAACAGGCCTAGGATGTCAGAATGCCCATATCCCAGGACAATGCCCTCAGCATCCTTTCACTACTCAAGGAGTGGCTTGGAGCTCATGGCGAAAGATCACACCAGAAGGACAACTTGAAACTGGAAACTACGATCTGTGTCAGCAAGGTACTTCGCCTCCTTCTGTGTATATGCAGTTTGTTGATACTTTTTTTCCCCATTTTCCTACACTCTCCTGTCTACCAAAATCACTATCTCCTATATGCCTACAGACTATTGACTTTTATCCAAGGCGTCAATTTGATTGTTACAATTTAAACATCCAAATATCAATTATCAGATACTGTACATTGTTTATCTAAATAGCCCATTAACTAATAAAAAAAATAAAAAGAAGAAGAGGAAGAAGAAAAGATATCTGTTGTTGAGAAATATGTATCTGAAATTCACCCGAACTGAACTTCAATTTTAAACAGACATTGTTTTTTCTTTTGAGTGTGTGAGATATTTCCCGTTTATCTGTCATTTACACGGATAAGTGGTGTCAGAAGCCCAAAGGCTTGCTGTTATTTTACCCTTTCAACTTCCTCCCAAAATGAGCAACCTCAAGAAGCTTGCAAGTGTGTCACAACTAAATCTTTTCAACGGTTACCATACACGTACCCCTCAGTCAGTGACAGATGGCAAATGCAGGGTACCACTTTTGCTTTCTTGAAGACAGAACATTAAACAAAAATATTCATAATTAGCTAGAAATACAGTATTTCAAAATATATTATCTATTTTAGTATTTTAGATGTGTTGGATGAAAAATAGTTCATGATGAAGTTTCGTTTTTCCTTGCTTTCTGAAATCACGACACACTTCTGGTCTGGGGCGCACATACCTTGACTCATGGACTCCTGTTCAATGTTTGACATGCACAATGGTTTGTATTCAATGCAATAGGTCTCTAAGGTTGGGCACTACATTGCAGTGCCCCAAAGTGACGAATCACTGCACACACAGCACTTTGGCGCTCTCTCTTAAGCGGTATGTCAATGACTGGTCGAGCTTGTCAGAGTCTACTGCTGGAATTACTATTCAGTACTATTTAACTTTTACGTCTCATTGTAATGCTGCAATTTTGAAAGTAATTCAGCTAAGATTTGTTGCTAGCTTACGTTTATGTTTCGTAAGGTCGTGTGTCATCATATTACAGGCATACAGTTTAGTAGGTGTCCCTTGTTCCTCTTGTTTAAGATACTGTACCTTACAATACAAAACATGATATAATCAGTGATGTGGACTCAACTCTAAATTTACAGGGCAATTTACATTCTCACTTTCGAGTTGTGGGTTGTAACTAACAGAACAACATCCCCCTACATAAGTGGTCAAAATATGTTTCCAAGGCAGTGTTTGAGGACTCTCCCTTAGAGATAGGGTGAGAAGGCTGGTCATCCAGGAGGGGCTCAGGGTAGATTTGGTCCTCCGCAGCAATGAGAGGAGCCAGATGAGTTGGCTTGGGCATCTGATCAGGGGATGCCTCCTGGGTGCCTCCCTGGTGAGGTGTTCTGGGAATGACCCACTGGCAGAAGTCGCTCCCAGCTGGCCTGGGAATGCCTCGGGATCCTTCATAAGAGCTGGGTGGAGTGGCTGGGGAGAGGAAAATCTGGCCTTCCCTGCTTAAGAAGTTACCACCGCGATGTAAGCGGAAGAAGATGGATGGATGACGTTTTATACATCGAAATCAGCCTCGGGTCAAATTCACAGTGAAGAACACCGATGTGTCAAATGAAAGGCATAGTTTCATTTTTTCTTTTTTTTTCTGGAAAAGTCATGAACTATGAAGGAAAAGGAATGCAAAAATTATGTCAACCATATATTTAGAGACATTAAACACCGAATAGGGTCAAATTGATCTGAAAGATACAGTAGGGTTAGACAATGGTTTGATCAAACAATCTTCAGGGTAGTGAATTGAGTTGATTGCTTGATCATATCTTGTATTCTTTTCACAGGCCTGTGACCAGAATGGAGATAAAGTGTGCACTTGCAGTAATATCAATGTGGAGAACTTGTCCCTGTGTCTGGCTGCTATCCAGAAGCTAGTAGAATACATCAACTTTAACTTTGTGGAGGATCGCACCGCTTCATCAACAGATCAGTCATCCTCCAACGAAGGATCAGATGTTGAGGTTCATTCTATTTCTATCAGGAAAAATGAAGGCGATCCATCTGATTTTGGTCTTAGCTTCGGAAACATCCCAATTTTTGGGGATCCTGATGGAAGAAAAAAAGGAGGACCAAGGAGGAGAAGAGATCAGAGCCCCATCATGCATGTGGGCTGCATCTGGGTAACCGAAGTGAGAAAGGAAAGCCCAGCAGCCCACTCAGGCAGAATTAAACTGAGAGATGAATTGCTATCATTGAATGGGCAGCTGATGGTGGGAGTTGATGTTAGTGGAGCCAGGTAAGTCTACTGAAGAAATAACTGCCAGACAAACAAGTTTTGTGTTAAAAGTAAGATTACAAATATAAATACATTCGAAATAAGTCATAATGGTATACCCTAGTATAACCAATATGTATAACTACATCTTTCAGAGTTGTCAGGGAGCAACTGCAGAGATTCTTTGTGCGCAGAAAATCATAACATTTTACATTCAGACTTTGAAACAACCTCTATTATCCATGCACAATTTTACAAACCATTGGACATATTGTGGTCATACATGACCGTGCATTTGTAATTGTCACGTATAATTGACCGCCATTCTGTTTATGTTGCATTCTTGCGCTGTGTGAAATTCAGATTCAACCCCCCAAAAAATTTTAAATACAAACATTAGATGACATTTATAAATCATAGACCGTACTGAACAGTATAGATGACATTTCTGAATCACACAGTAAAGTTCCTATTCTTCTTCATTGATGACAACAATGGGCTAAAACTGGCAAGAAAAGGCGAAATTCCGAAAGTGGCACTGTTGACATTGTCGAGTGTTAAGAGTGCCTGCTAATATTTGACTGTGTATTTCCAGTTACCTGGCTGATCAATGCTGGAATGGAGGCTATATTTGCCTTGTGTTGCTGCGGCGAGTCAAGCGAAAAGCTCCTCTACCTCCCTGTGGTGTTGATGACAGTCCAAGTACTCCCATCAGTAATGACTGCTGCGATGACCAGCCGCAGTGCATCACTTCTGCTGAGTCCATTGATAGTCCAGTAACGTGCAAACGTACTCGCAAAATTGGGGTCACATCACGGCCGCCCTGCAAAAGAGACAACGAAGAGGATCCTGACTCGGAATTTCAGAGTAATTGTAGTGACTTCAGCTCTTCTAGCTTTGTCAATAAAGGACTCAGCCCTTCGAAGGAAAACTCAGGGCATGTCTTTTCCACACATATGCCAACAGAGGAAAATTGTGGCACCTTTCCTCATTTCAAAGTTACTCATCATCACCGCGGAGGCACTGCTACACTGCCTTTAAGGAGTCACAGCAGTCAACTGTTGGAAAGCAAAAGGGATTCTTTCTGCAGTCAACTTTCGAACCAGGTAATTTGGGCATTTTTCATCCCTGTAATGCACGATTGTGTGTAGTTTTCAGTTCCACTTTTTTTCCCCCCGTTTCATTGCGAATAATTTTTGTTTTTGTGATACTACCGCTTTCGCCGCTATGTTTCACAAATTATTTGTCTCTTGTGGTGATCACTGAGTTTTGACAGATTGGGTACTAGGACAGTTCAGAAACATACTATTTGCTTGTCTCAGCTTTCGTTTGAGTCTTCTTATGTGGTTTAACCAGTGTTACTTCCGAAGTGTAATATATATTATATTACTTAGTATTTTTATTTGTAAGCAGGTCTACAGAGTAACTTCTTTTTTTTTTTTTTTACTTGGACTACAGTTGCCCCAAACCTGACATTTTAGTCTCAAGTAGAAAATGTAGGGGTGCACACTGTAAATTGATTTCCGCTCATGTTTATTACTTGACTGAAAAATGGGCTGAGGTGTGCAGCAGTTTATCGGCAACAAAAAATGTTGACCAATAATTTTTTTTTTTTTAATCTGCAAATTTATTGGGCGCATGTGCACGAGCTGATGAAAAATGTACTTGCACTGTTTCAAATTTTAAGGACAAAAGGCCATTATTTGTACGTTTCTTTTCAACATTGTCGTCTGTGTAGAGCAGTGTTGGCCAACCCGCGGCTCGCGAGCCGCATGCGGCTCTTTGGCTGGTTCAATGCGGCTCCCGGGCTTTCACACGACAAGCGTCGAAAACACCTCGGCAGTGGCGCTGCCCTTCAAAAAAACACACTAAATACACCGAACGCACTATGTCAGCCTATCATCAATCCCGTTACTTGATTGACATAGAGGGCAACCAATCAGATGACTGAATCACCGCTCATGCGCAAATAACAGCGCTAAGCTAGTCATCGAATTACCTCTGATTTTAAGGCAGGGATGTCCAATACGTCGATCGCAATCGAACAGGAGCCAGCGGACTGGTCCCAAGTCGACCGCAAGGGGTGGGAGGAAGAAATGGCTGGGAAAAAAAAGAAGACTTGTGTATTTGTGTCTTTAGCTTTCTTCATGTTCGGGCCATTCCAGCTGTTGCTCATCGTGTCGTGGGTGCATATGTGCGCGCTTGTATGATTGGGCGCGCGCTTGCATGCGTGCGTGTTTGTGTGTGTGTATATGCTTGCACGTGCGCGATCGGGTCGATCCTGGGAAATTGGTTGCTTCAAAAGTCAATCTATGGGCAAAAAAGTGTGTGTGTGTGTGTGTGTGTGTGTGTGTGTGTGTGTGTATGCTTGCACGTGCGCGATCGGGTCGATCCTGGGAAATTGGTTGCTTCAAAAGTCGATCTATGGGCAAAAAAGTGTGTGCGTGTGCGTGTGCGTGCGTGCGTGATCCCCATGTGTAAGATGTGGCTCTTTGCAGTAACACGGTTACTTGTGGAGGCTCTCAGTCGTACAGGAAAGTTCCATCGTAGAAAGGGTTCTGTCAGTCGTCATCTGTACCTGTGGGTAAAAAACAAAAAACAAAAAACAAAAAACAAAAACAAAAAAGGACGTTTCGCTTCTCTCACAGAAGCTTCGTCAGCGGTAGACAACCCTGAAGTCTCCGTGCAGTCTCCGGGAAGTTGCTCTGCGCTAAAAGGCTGAGCGTGGCCTGTTTGAGGACTGGGTGGGGATGGTTAGTCACGCCCCTATGGTGAAGAGGCCCATTGATTTCTAAATTCCCTATCGTTGGGTCTTGATTAGGCCTATTGTTTGGGCTAGGGCTGAATAGCTACTTTCATTTGGCCTGATCAGCATGTCTATGTCCCTTGGTGGTCAACAAGTTATTGTAAATAGGAGACAGGTTAAATCTGATATCTCCTTCACGGTTCAGAGAGGGTGAAAATTTTTTAACAAAAATCGCTTCCTTTACTCCCCTTTCAAACCATCTCTTTTCTGTTCCTATGATTTTTACTTGTTCATCTTCAATTGTGTGGTTTGTTTCTTTTAAGTGTGCGTGTACTGCACTTTTGTTATCATTGTTTTTCCATTTGTGTTGATAAAGTCTTTTCTTGAGTGTTTGTTTGGTTTCTCCGATGTAATGTTCCTTGCACTCACTTTCTTGGCAACGGATGGAATAAATCAGATTGCATTTTTGGGTGTTAGGAACCCGGTCTTTGGGGTGTACTAGTTTTTGTCTCAATGTGTTTATCGGTTTAAAATAAACAGGAATATCATGTTGTAGAAATATTCTTTGTATTTTCTCTGAGAGGCCGGCAATATAAGGTACACAGACACCCCTTCTCTTCTTTTCTCTCTGTTGGTTGGTTTCCTCTCTGTTTGTTTTAATTTTCCTAACTTTTTTAAAGGAAGCGATTTTTGTTAAAAAATTTTCACCCTCTCTGAACCGTGAAGGAGGTATCAGATTTAACCTGTCTCCTATTTACAATAACTTGTTGACCAGTAAGGGACATAGACATGCTGATCAGGCTAACTGAAAGTAGCTATTCAGCCTTAGCCCAAACAATAGGCCTAATCAAGACCCAATGATAGGGAGTTTAGAAACCAATGGGCCTCTTCACCATAGGGGCGTGACTAACCATCCCCACCCAGTCCTCAAACAGGCCACGCTCAGCCTTTTAGCGCAGAGCAACTTCCCGGAGTCTTCACGGAGACTTCAGGGTTGTCTACCGCTGACGAAGCTTCTGTGAGAGAAGCGAAACGTCCTTTTTTGTTTTTTTTTTTTTTTGTTTTTTGTTTTTTGTTTTTTACCCACAGGTACAGATGACGACTGACAGAACCCTTTCTACGAAGTAACACAGTTAAAAAATTGGCTCTTGTCACTTTGCGAGGTGGTGGTGGACCCCAAAAAAGCAGGCAGGAGGGAGGAGCAGGGTGTACTTGAAGAATTGTATTAAAACATAGAGAAAACTAAATCCAAAACAAAGTCCAAAGTAGCAAACAAAAATCACAACTGAAGCTAGAACAGAACTGTGACCAAAACATGACCAAAACAAACCTGACAGCAGCAGACAAACAGCAAAAACAAACATGACAGTAGCAAAGAGCAACAATGACCCGACCATGAGTAGTCGGGCTGGGAGTCCTTTTAAAGCACTAATTACCTAATGACCAACAGGTGTGCAGCTGCAGGGGAAGCCCTACAGTGCCACCTGTTGGTCCCAAACCGAATCATGACAGCTCTTAGTCTCTGACTGGTTGGCCATGCCTGGTGTAGAGTAATAAATTACTTATTACTTTTAATTAAGGTACTTTTAAATAATCTGTAATGAATTCATTTATTAATGCTTTCGAATTTAAAAGAAAAATGTGAAATTTGCCACCATAGCTGGTAAAGTTAACTTGTAATGACAGTCTTTAACTATATTGTGTGGAGTATAATGTTACATTTTCAACTCAATGGTGGGGAATCACTGCCTTTGAATAATATTTGAATCAATAACAATATTTTTTTAAATAGAAATATTGGAACTCATATTTGGTCCAATAAATAAATAACCCCAGACTGTGTACCATAAATAAAATTATCAACATCCATCCATCCATTATCCGAGCAGCTTGTGGTGGAGTCTATCCCAACCATCTTCGGGCAGTAGGCGGGGTACACCCTGAACTGATTGCCAGCCAATCGCACGGCACACAGAGACAAATAGCCATTTGCGTTCACACTCACAACAAAGGACAATTTAGAGTGATCAATTGACCTACCATGCATGTTTCTGGAATGTGGGGGGAATTTGGAGTGCCCAGAGAAAACCACGCAGGCACCGGGGGAACATGCAAACGTCACACAGAAAGGCCGAGGCCGGAATTGAACTCACGACCTCTGTACTGTGAGGCAGACGTGCTAAAAACATGCTCAAATTAATTTATACTCATGGTGATTGGTACAGTTTACTATCTGTAAGTTGCTTTCGCTTCATGCCTCTTTGGTTTTGCGTCTAATTTTGTCTTGTAGCCCAAATATTCTAACATGTTCCTCGGCTCAGTAAATAATAATAGAAAAATGTTACGAGTAACTGCTTATATTACTTTGTTACCAGAGTATCCACCCTTTTCGGAGTCCTTGGAAGGAATGCTGGAGAGCGCTCCTTCTGGACACTCCATCATTTCGCTGTGTCTCTTTACTTCTCATGTGGGCAATGACAGGTAGACCTGGAGGGTCGTGATTGGGAGGAATGGGCCGGGCCCCCCGATCGAGACCTGGGAGGAGTTCTGTTATTGGACTTCTGTGCTCATCATGGATTGTCCCCAACAAACACTCTGTTCAAACATAAGGGTGTCAATATTTCCACCTAGCACCAGGACACCCTAGGCTGCAGTTCGATGATTGACTCGGTGGTTCTGTCATCGGATTTGCGACTGCATGTTTTGGACACTTGAGAGCGAGGCGGAGCTTTCAATTGATCACCGCCTGGTGGTGTGTTGGCTCTGACCTGGCAGACCTAAATGTATTGTGAGTTTCAACTTCCACCTCCAGTAGAACTTCACCCACATCGGGGTGGCAGACATTGAGTCAGAGTGGACTATGTTCCGTGCCTCCATTGTTGCGGCAGCCGACCGGACCTGAGGTGGTTGGTGCCTGTTCTGGCGGCATGCCCTTAAACTTTTGGTGGACACCAGCGATGATGGATCCCATCAAGCTTGAGAAGGAGTCCCATTGGGACTTTTTGGCCTGTGGGACTCCGAGCAAGCTGATGGGTACCGATTGGCCAAGCGGAATGCAAACTTGAGCATGGGTTTTGGAATAAATGTAATTCTGTTATCCCATATTTACTCTCTGTGTAACTTTAAAACCTGTTTCAGAGTGATACCTCGGAAATACCTCATATACAATGGGGTAGGTTGATAATCGTAGACTTGTCGGACCGGGAGAGCTCAGGCTGCTCCTGTTCTAGCTTTTAAGACAATATCTTGTTGTTAAGTGAACGGCTTCTGGTCAAATTAACTGTTGGTTGTGAGAAGATAACATCAACCCAGGACACCATGAGAGGGACATCCCAAGCTGTGTACGTGGACCATCGACAT